AAGATGTAAATAATTATACAGACTTGTTTAACTTAGATTTCGTGACAAAAGACAGGCTTTAATTTGTTACCACAAGTCACCCCTCCTCCTGCCGAGTCATCACAAATGAAATAGGAAATGTCGGGTTTGCTTCGTGCTCGGGCCTGCAAATCAAGATAATTGGTCGGGCTCGGGCCGGGTTGGGCTTAAATACCAGCAGGCCAGGTCGGGCTGGATTTTTTTGGCCCGATCTTACCTCTACATCAAATCCATGGTATCATTTTAATCACTGTCTGTCATGACATTTATTTTCCACATGATGGCGCAGTAGCACAAATAAAGCCTCATGATGCTTCGGCCCAGGAACGAACCAATTGGATGTAAAGCCTCATTGCTTCATGAGGCTTCATTTTCTCATCACTACTCTGAGGTTGAAGTAACTGATGTGGTTAAAAGGATCCTCGGTGGCAAAGCCTCAGGGTGGATGAGATCCGCCTGAGTTCCTCAAGGCTATGGATGTTGTGGGGCTGTCCTGGTTGACACACCTCTGCGACATTGCATGGTCACCATGGAAAGTGCCGCTGGATTGGCAGACAGGGGGCACCTCTTTTCAAGAAGGCTCAATGAGATGAAGACTCACAGGTGTGTAGGGGAGGCAGGTGCACTGATTAGGAAGGCGTCCGGCCCACACTGGAAAAGGTAACAAGAACAAAAGGAAAGGGCGACACCGTGGACAAACAATGAATTCTAACAAAACTATATGCTCCCTCATTATATAAAAACACTAATAATTTTGGGGAAAAAGTAGGTATAGAAGGGCGGCCCGGTAGTCCAGTGGTTAGCACGTCGACTTCACAGTGCAGAGGTACCGGGTTCAATTCCAGCTCCGGTGTGGAGTTTGCATGTTCTCCCCGGGCCTGCGTGGGTTTTCTCCGGGTACTCCGGTTTCCTCCCACATTCCAAAAACATGCATGGTAGGCTGATTGAACACTCTGGATTGTCTCTAGGTGTGAATGTGAGCGTGGATGGTTGTTCGTCTCTGTGTGCCCTGTGATTGGCTGGCAACCGATTCAGGGTGTCTCCCGCCTACTGCCCGAAGACAGCTGGGATGGGCTCCAGCACCCCCGCGACCCTAGTGAGGATCAAGCGGTTCGGAAGATGAATGAATGAATGAATGAATGAATGAATGATTTTCAATATTTTGGATATGCAATGTTCCACACATTGTTTGCTGCAAACACTCATAAAAACAGTGGATAAATACATGTTGGTTTGGTGCAATCTATCTGATTGAAAAAAAATGCATACATTTTATGTACATCTATTTTCCTAAGATACACACATGTAAATATTTCAATTTGAATTTGCAGGAAGCAGAGCCTGAAATGTTTGTGACGTTGGTTTTCTGAATGAGTACGAACGTTCACAATCAACTGATTTTGATGTTGAAAGATTTACATCAATTTAATGACAAATAATTGCACTGAAATTGACCATCCAAAAACCTTTTCCCTGTTACACCCTTTTCTTTTTCTCACACTTTTTGAGTTTATTGTTGGGGAATCTACATAGTATAAGAACTATTAGCTGAGCAACCAACAGCAATCAGAGTAGTTAATGGAGCAATTCTGTTGAATCGAGAAGACTTCTCGGCTTAAGGTTAGGGTAGCCCCATCGCTATACATTTTTTTAAACTCATGTTAAAACACATTTTTATTCTATAGTTTTTAACTCAACATGAGAATCGACATTGCTTTAGTGTTATATGGTGTTTACTGTTTCTATTAGTGGTTGAGTGGTTTTAGGTTATACTTTTTCAATGTCATTTTTACTCCACATACAGCACTTTGTATGTGGCGATGGTTGTTTTAAAGTGATCTATAAATAAAGTAAGGTTGAGTTGAGTGCAGTCTTGTTTAATAGAGTCTGGTTTCACCAAGGGAATTCATATTACGCACATATGCACAGGACTTTGTAGTATTATTTACAAATATATCAAACGGTATGTGCAAAATTATGCAATAATGGCCAAAAATAATTAATCGTTTTTGTTCAGTCCCAATCCTATTTTTTTCAGGCCAAATGGTTGGCACATCTCCAAGCAACAAATGAGTGACGTACACCAGATATTCCCAGATTGCAACACTTTGCCACATTAAATATGGCGGCAACGCGTATGTTACACTGCTTTAGGGCATCATCTCGATACATCTCTTTTCCCTATGTCATATCCTTTGCGGATTTGGGTTTCTCTACATAGGCTATGAGTGTGGTTGCGAGTCGATCGGACAGAGTGTAACGTTTGACGAACAATGGAAGGCAAAACTCAGATCCAAGAAGCGATTAAAATACAAGGTGAAGTGGTTCGGAGGATGAAGTCTGAGAAGGCAAGCAAAGAGCAGGTAAGCAATGTTAACTGGGATACAATTCAAGTGGCCTTTGATAATCCTGCTGACGGGTCTTTAACATGGTGTGACCCAAAGGAACGCACGAGTGCATGACAACGTGGGAAGAAATGAAATAACGAGGCAGCTCACCTCAGAGTTCGTATTATCAGATCATTTTTGTTTTTCGTTTTGCCCCGGAAGTTGTTTCTCCGTGGGATTTAACTACAAACAAAACGGCGTCCATTCATTCTTGCTCAGCTATCTTTTGGCTTTTGCCCACTTGGAATAGAGAGGTCCGACATGTTTTCAAAAGTCCAGGAAGCATCATAAATTAGGTCCAAAAATTATAAACATGTGGTTTCGGTACTTAATTGTTTAGTTTTTATTTACTTCGGTAGCGTCTTAGTTGTATTAGGACGGCTGATGCAATAGCTAACCGGGTAGGCAAGCGCAAATATCCTGAAGTCATGATCATAAAATACAGCGTATAATTTAAATGTGGTACGCCAGCCACAACGTCATTTTCGACAAAACGAGCCGCCCTAATCTGTACCCAATACACTGTACATTCGTTTTTGCTGCTGGTGACTGTGGAACTGAAGCTTGGGGACCGTTGACACAGTGCTTCAATACTATTCGTGCACACTGCTGCTGATTCATTGCAGAGAGATTCTGTGATGCGTTTGAAGCAGGACTGTGTCTGTGTGTGGACTGAATTAGACCGGATGCTTTGATTGACTTGGTACATTTTATGTTCTGTCCTTCTCATCTGGGGTAATGATGATGCATCATACACCGCCACCCCTAGTGATAGGGTTGCTTACCACTTTTCTCCTGTTCTTCCTGCCTGACCTTTGGTGTCCTGCTGGCCTTCAACGGAATACATTGACCATCCATGGAATACATTGTACCTACTGGCTCTGCATTGCTTTGAATGGCTTTTCGGTTGGCTGTCAAAATACCACTGGATGATGCATTCCTGACCTTTTGGTTGTGATATTTGACACTCCACTGCTGAATGAACATGTTCGGCATGTTTGCTGTCCGGACCCGCTCTGCAATGGTTGGCTTCCAAATTGCAAACTGTGTCCAATCTCGATGCTCTTTGATGGGAATCACTGTGGCTCAGGTATGTTTTGCATGTATGTATTGCACATCCATGCGTTTATTGTATTGCAGTACCATAACATCTTATTGTGTAAGAAGTGAACCACAGTTGTGATAATGCCCCATGTTCAAATTTCTATTGCTGGCTGGTCCTACACAGATTGACAAAGAAGTTGCTAAACTTCTAGAGCTGAAGGCACAGTTGGGAGGAGATGATGGAAAGCATCAGTTTGTTCTCAAAACTGCAAAGGTAAGTTCACTGTGCTACAAATGACTTGAGATATTTTTTGTAATTATTGAAACTACTCCTGTAAATCTGTAAAAGAAGGGGTGAACATGTTTTAAATTGTACTCCCTGAAGTGAATGTGAGTTGCCTTTGCAGTCTATCTATCTATCTATCTATCTATCTATCTATCTATCTATCTATCTATCTATCTATCTATTTAACTAATAAAAAACTAACAGAGAGGAATAACACCTGAACAATCCCTCTCTTGATCACAATTAATATTGTGATCACAAAATCATCTGCGTCAAAATCTCTTGTCAAAATATACCAGAATGCACACCTCACAATATACCAGAATGCACACCTCACACCCCCCTTACGGACTCGAAAGAGTCCGTCACTGGTAGCGAACGAAATCAAATAAAGGTACCAGCAGCATCATCGTCGTAGGCGACTGGTGCAACGCCAAGCAAGGGTTATGTGGAAAAAATCGGAAATCAACAGCTCAACAAGAAGCAAAAGCACACAATAATGACCACATGTTGATCGTTGAGGGATGTACCGCCTTGCACTCCAGCTGGAGCTGAAACCCTGAAACGTGATTTCCGGGTTGAGTGTACGCTGGCGTTGTCTGGCTGCCGCTGCTCACCCGCAACACATTTTTAACGTTTTTACGGTTTTACCGTCGCCAATTTATTTTTGATCGTCAACCACTATCTGATTGTTTTTAATCACGCTGTCACAGCGTCCTACCTTTTCGGATCTCAGACGAGGTCCCATGCCATCTTCACCCCTCTATCCCTCATGACGGGGGAAGTCGGGGCCTTTGTCTGGGCCATACTAATTTGGACCATCCTGTCGCTCCTCCATCGACCTATGGAAGGACTACTTCGGTACTCAGCGGCAGAACTTCTCGGGCTCCGCTTTCGGTGGTTGCGCTTTCCACCTGCGCTGCACCGCTTCCCGGACAACGTTCTTTGTCCCTCCTGGAAATACATTCACCGTGGGTCTCGTCGGGGCTTCTACCTTGATCGATCCGAGGCCATCACCTCCTTCTGGTCATCCTCCCGCCGGCCACGCAGAAACAACGGCCGATCCGCGGACCACAGCGTGTTGGCCGACCTGGCTAGGTCGGCTAATGCTCCTCGTAACAGCGATATTGCGCTGCACCGCTTCCCGGACAACGTTCTTTGTCCCTCCTGGAAATACATTCACCGTGGGTCTCGTCGGGGCTTCCACCTCGATAGATCCAAGGGCATCACCTCCTTCTGGTCATCCTCCCGCCGGCCACGCAGAAACAACGGCCGATCCGCGGACCACAGCGTGTTGGCCGACCTGGCTAGGTCGGCTAATGCTCCTCGCAACAGCGATATTGCCGGCGTCAACTTCGGACTGCTCAACATCCGCTCGCTCACTGGGAAAGGTTGTTTTTTCCAGGATAACCTCAGAGACCGTAAGCTTGACTTTTTTTGTCTGAATGAGACCTGGCAAACTCCTGGCGACTTTTCTCAACTTAATGATTCTACTCCCCCGGGTTTTGTTTACCTATCGAAGCCCCGCGGTACGAGTTGTGGAGGTGGACTCGCGCTATTGTACCGCGAGAAATGGAAGGTTCTTCCTATCTCTCTCCCTCCTCTCTCCTCATTTGAATGCCTCGCCTGTCAAATTTCCGGACCCACTCCAACGATCATTGCCACAGTATACCGTGCCCCCAAACCTCATTGTGACTTTTTAAATGAATTTTCTGCTATCCTCACCCATCTCTCCTCTCTATCTCCTAATATAATTATTCTAGGGGATTTCAATATACACATGGACAATACCGCCCTTCCGCTCACCATGGACTTCACCTCCTCACTTGACAGTTTTGGCTTCCATCAGTTTGCAGACTTCCCCACACACATTAAAGGACACACCTTAGATCTCATTTGCTGCTCTGGTCTCACCCCCTCCAACTGTACTGCTGATGAACTCCCTATAACGGACCACTTCCTCATT